TGGCCGCTGGGGTATTTGCAGCCTCTGACATGGCCGCTGGGGTATTTGCAGCCTCTGACATGGCCGCTGGGGTATTTGCAGCCTCTGACACGGCCACTGGGGTATTTGCAGCCTCTGACATGGCCGCTGGGGTATTTGCAGATTTCAAATGAGAAATTAAGGAATAATTAGATTCTCTGACATGGCCGCTGGGGTATTTGCAGCCTCTGACATGGCCGCTGGGGTATTTGCAGCCTCTGACATGGCCGCTGGGGTATTTGCAGCCTCTGACATGGCCGCTGGGGTATTTGCAGCACCGGTTTGCCTTCCACAGTTGCGGGATCGGTACATTTCTGCGATAGTGACTTGCACTTCTGAGAGTCTCGGAAGTCACTTTGTCGATGTGTCTGCATTAAGAGCTCTCACACAGAGCCAAGAAAAAAGCAATAAAGGTGAAATGAATGAGAGAGAGAGGGAGAACATGACGTTGTTTCTTTAAGGAGCCTGTGCTTCCACAGTGGTATTAGTGTTGTCAGATCTTCATGTTTCATTGGCCCTGTCCTCTGAAATGAAGGTTGATAAGCGAACTTTATTGTAATTTTGGATAAGTACGCAGTTTTTTCATGCTGGAGATATTAAGTGACATTAAGTGCTTTGAATTTTTTTTTCTGATCATCAAAGCTCCCTGGTGCTATTTTAGGGGGTGCAGTAGCTGCGTGTGTTTAAGTGTGTGTTCGTTTGTGAAAGTTACACGTCTTTCTTGCCCAGCCTTTCCATAGAGCTGTCATGGCCGAAGGGTGGTTGATTCTGTCTGTCGACATGCTTTAAAAACCTGGGACTAATCTCCCAGGACGCCTTCTTCAGTCTGCTCTCAGTCTCGGCCATATCCAGATGCGCCCTTTAAGCGGGGTCCGTCCTGCCCACTCTGTTTGGCTCAGGGCAGCCCTAATGATCACGATAGCTTTATGCTGCTTCCCAGCATTTTCAACTTTAATGAACTGAGAAATTGCCGCTGCCTGTCATATTCTTTTGAGTGGAAAGGTCAGACTTTCAAATGAGTTTTAAATCATTATTTCTTTTTCTAGAAATGCAGATAAAATACAACAATGTACACAGTGTAATCCTCCCAGCCACCTTGATGGGGAGTTTCTGTGCTGCCATTTTTTGTCTTTGCAGGGGCTTAAGATAATTAGCTGGCTTCCTCATGTGTGTGCTTTCTGATTATGGAGACAAAGCACCCAATACTGTCAGACCCCCTTTACGCTTTTTAAGGAACACAAATCACCAAGGTCATTTCCAGCCAATATATGGTACAACAACAATTGACATTTAACATTTTGACATTTGATATTTTCCCTCGGTTTGGTAATTACCTTGCTAAAATGTCATATACATTTTTGAAAAAGGGACTGGAAAAGAAGCAGAAAACTCCTACCCGAACAAGCCTTATGCAACACATTCCGATTCTGAAGACTTTTTAAAGATAATGATCGGAACTCTGCCTTCTTTCCTTTGCTGCCTGGCGATAAAATGCATAAACATTTCATGACTTCCTTTGCATGCAGCCTCAAAATACCCCGCAACGATAAAGGAATCATCTTTCTACATCAACACTTGAGAAGCAAATTCAGATTTTATGCAGATTTGGGCTTGAGGGACACACAGGAGGCTTCGTGGTTTTTGGATTCGGTCGAAATGATTGCAGATGAGAAATTAAGGAATAATTAGATTCTCCCTTTAGTGCTTGACTCATGAATGTTCTTCAAGGGTGCCGAGGCTGGAGTTAATGAACGGCCATTCAACGTCAGAACCGAATTAAGGATGAGTAGATGAGCAGCAGTGGCACCTCCGAGCGGCCTCCAAGGCTGTTATCTCTTGGTTCTCCGATAAGAACGTCCCCTTTTGGGGGGCGGCTGAAGATGGCTCCGTGGGGAGCAGTGGAGAGCTGGGTGCCGCCGCTGTAGATAATGCTGCCACCAAAGAGCAGTCCCCAGTCCCCATAGTGCCCCCAAGCAGAACCAAAGGGTTTAGCACAGAATTACCGATGCATCGGTCACAATATGCATTGTGCTTCATTTGTTATGGTCTTGCAAATCATCCAAATATGGAGTGCGGCTGTCCATCGGGGACTGAAGCACAATGCTGATGTACAAACAATGGATGTGCCTCTCTCATTTCCTGACTCTGGGTTATGAGGCGTTTGTATTTCTCTGTGACAAACAGGAGTAGAAAATGGGGTTCTCATGGGCAAATGCTTGTTTAGTATTATTAAAATATTATTTTCCATTAAAATGGGCATTCAGTTGTTTGATTGGGAAAAATTAACATGGTGATATGTTGCCAAAATAATTCCATCTGGAAATAGTTGCTAATAGAAGAATCATTTTCACAAATCATTCATAGCATTTTGTCATTTTAGCTAAAAGGGGTTTTAATCACACCTAAATAAACAAGTATGTTTAACTTTCCTCAACAATTTGCCTGTCAGTGGAAAAAGCGAACTTGACTGCTTGGGCTTCATTAAGACTGTGACTTTATTTATAATTTGCAGTAACTGACAAATGCATTGTGACAAATGCATATACTAAATTAATATTGTGGTAAAACTTGGGTATCATAAGGTAATTTAAGACAATTGGGCATTAAAATGCTTTATTTAACAATGTTGTAGTACACTGGGACTTCTCCTGTGACCAAAATGCATTTTTTTGTTTATCTCAATTTCAATTAAGAAAAAATTAATAAATCAGTGCATTATGATGCCTTTCAAAGACGAAACACCGTAATTACATATCAATGAAATAGCGTTTCTGCAATCTTATGACTAAATGCTATAAAATGCTCGGTTCCGAAGAAAACATAGTGTGACTATTACAGTAACTACAAATTCCACACTAAAACCGAGGCGAATCACCCTTTTCCTCAGTGTAAGTTGTATGGCAGTATGGTACAAAAGTCTATCAAAATATGTGACAAGCTAAATTGCTTAACTGTGGGGGCAGAGCAGGACGAACGTACCCACCCCCCCCCATCCTGCCAGATGAACACAGCCATGACCAGCTTTCCTTATCTGACTGCAGCTGCCCGTGAAGCTTTCTTCAGCCTGTAAATGGCTTTTCCCTGGATCGCAGGCTCACACGCCGGCCCGCTTTCCCGCTCACGCTCGCGTGATATTTATCTTCCATGCCACTCGCGGATCTTGGGGAAAAAGCGAAGATTGAAACTGTAAAGCCTTGATAATGAACTGGGCGCCGCCGTAACTTTGCGGAGACTCTGCACTGAAGGGTTTATTGATTGTAGCAGCGTCAGGAGTGGCTTTCTGCTCGTATTTAAGGCCACGCTTGTTTGCCCACTGAAGCTTCTCTCGGCGTGAAGAGCTAAAGCTGCTGCATCTTTATGGCTGTTCTGGAATAGTCCATCCAAACCACCGCATGGCCAGCAATATAGGGATTACTCTATTTACACATTGTTTAAGTGAAATTTACAGAGCGTGTAAAACTGCTGACAACAACAGGGTATGTTTTGGTAATAAAAAGGCCAAGTGTTTTCTATCTACCAAATATATTTTCTTCATAGAAGACAGTAATGTTTGTTCATTAAATCATCCTGTGTGAATTGATGTGGTCCAAACCTTTCCCTGCAGCACAGAGTGATCGAGTCTCATCACACTCTTTCAACTTTATATATATATTCCAAAATCCATCCTGTCTTTTATAGATATTCAGCAGACAGCTGCTGCCTTCTGTTCAATTTTTCTCTCCTTCGACTTACTGAAAAATGATCAGTGATGCTCCTCCTGTTCTCCTGTTGTGTTTTTGCAGATCGAAATGTTAGAGCACAAATACGGAGGCCACCTGATCTCACGCCGGGCTGCCTGCAAAATCCAGACCGCCTTCCGCCAGTACCAGCTCAGCAAGAACTTCGAGAAGATCCGCAACTCTTTGCTGGAGAGCCGCCTTCCTCGGCGCATCTCCATGCACAAGGTACGCGTGCAGAACGCCGAAGGCTTCTCTGCCGAGAAGGCCCTGGTGGAGGGCTATAACTTTGTGGGCATCCCCCTGGTGCGCTCCCCCTCGCTGCCCACCACCGTCAGCGGCACCCTGACCGACCTGGAGGACTCCTTCACTGAGCAGGTGCAGTCCCTGGCCAAGTCCATAGATGAGGCCCTCAGCAACTGGAGCTTGAAGACCATGTGCTCTCTGCAGGATGGAGGCACCTATAAGTTCAAAGAAACCTTCAGTACAGGTGCCCCAGGGCTTGGCAGCGGGGAACTAGGTCTAGGGGCTGAACATTGTGCCCTGCAGGAGAGCATCCTAGGGGAGAACCCAGAGAACCTGCCCCGCAGCGCAAGTAAGCTCATGATGGCCTTTCGTGATGTGACAGTGCAGATCGACAACCAGAACTTCCACATGTCCTCCTCTGTTATGGAGTCCACCTCTGTATCCCTCGCTAACTGTCTCCAGCAGGGAGGCACTGTGAACCCCAAAGAAGCCCTGGAAGGAGAACAGGAGACCCCTGAGGAAGGGGGGCTCCCAGGCTCCGACGTGGTTGATAATGAGTTCCCTGACCCTCCTCCGATTGGCGAAGTGGTGTGTGAGGAAGAGCAGCTGGACGTGAAGGAACTCGAAACTACAAACGTGGAGGCAGAGGTTGTGGTGGAGGCTGAGGGGGAGGTCACAGAAGAGATGGAGAGGGAGCCCGGGGCGGAGACTCTGGAGGCCCAGCGCACGGAGTCTGAGACGGCCGACAACAGCTCCGAGCAGATGAGCAGCAGCAGCACCTCCACCTCGGCTAAGTCGGCCTCCGAGGTCTCCTCCAAGGAGGCCCTACAGGCCATGATCCTCAGCCTTCCCCGTTACCACTGCGAGAACCCCGCCAGTTGCAAGTCCCCCACCCTCTCCACCGATGTCATGCGCAAACGCCTCTACAGGATCGGCCTCAACCTCTTCAACGTGTGAGTAGCGAACGATTTCCGCCTTCCTTCTACTGTCCTGAAAATTAACCCGAATGTTACACACGCTACCATTTTAGAGCAACAGCATTTACTTTTTTGCTAATTCGAGATTGCATTCTTTTGGGTCATAATATATATTTATATCTATTTTTATATCAATTGTTCAAAGTGACATACAAGTCAGGATCAGAGAGCAGGGTCGGACAGTGTCCCAGGAATTTTTGGGGTTGGGGTATCTCTCATGAACACAACAGTGAAATCATCCTGCCAGCCATGGGATTTGAACCAGTGACCTTCTGATCAGAGGCACTGACCCACAAAATCACACACCACCAGAATATAGCTGTGTTTTTATATTTTTATATTAGTGTATTTATGCAAACCCTACAAGATGCTGTAGGTGATCAGGTCTCAACCTCCCCAAATGAAAGGTAATTGGAAGTTTAAGTATTGTTAAAAATTCACACGGCATCCCAAACTATTTATCTGATAACAATGCTTGTCCCTGCCAGCTGTAGAGGAGAGCGGCCGAGTGGGCCGCGATCGCATCTCACAACGTGACACGATCTTGCAGTCTGGTGGTCACGGTCGCTGCATGCTCTACTGAAAGGTTTGCCCTATCACGTCCATGCATCCCCCCCAGTGCAGTTTCACTGGAGCGTGTAATGCCCGATGTGGCATTAGTGCGATCTGGAACTCTTGCAGCAGATACGTGAGTCAGTCAGATAAGTGAGGGTATTGGGCCTCTATGTGTGTGTTACTTTAATAATATTGTAGATTAAATGGATGCTTTTGATAAACGTGGCAGTAAAGGGCAGATGTATTGTGTTCTGTGATCTCAAATCCCTTCACTTCTTCCAGCAGCATGGTTGTGCTGTATAGACTTACTTCAAAATAGTATAAGCTTATCCGTTTTGCAATCAACACATTTCATAATGATATAGTGAAAACAATGTGATTTTTTTTTGGAATTTTGACATATTTCAATAAAAGTCAGAAATCCCCCATTTACAGTCACTGTACAGTCTATTTACTGTATGCTTGGATGCATCCTATTTTTTTTAGAATCTTTTAGATGTCTCCAAAACTTGATTGTAATTCACCTGTGTCAAATTCACTTGATTAGACATGATTTAGAACGGTGCATGTCTGTTTTTATAAAGCTCCACAATTCACATCGGTTAGCAGAGTGAAACCACACCATGAAGTCCAAGGACCTCTTTGTAGAATTCTGATAAAGGCTTTTGTCAATGCATGGATCTGAAAAGACTATGTTTAAAATTATTGAAGTTCTCTAGGCACATAGTGAATAGGCTGTCTGACCAGACTGGGTATTTTGACAAGAAGAACAATTAGAGAAGTTTCCAAAAACTCTATGGCCACTGCCAGAAGGACAACCATCACTCAATAAATCAGGTCTCTGTGGCAGAGTGGATGGTCTGAAAAAGGCACATGGCTTACCAAATGGCACTTAAAGAACTCCAGGAGCATGAGGAAAAAGATTCTCTAGGGTGATGGTACTAAAATTGAATTCCATGTCTGGCAGAAACCAGGCACCGCTGGCTAAAACTGTCACTATGGAGACAGCATCATTCTCGGGGGATGCGTCTTAGTGGCTGGGAATGGGAAGCAGCTCAGAGTGGCAGGAAAGAGTGAAACCAAATGCAGAGAGGTCCTTGAAGAAGACCTGTTCCAGAGGACACATAACTGCAGCCTTGACTGAAAATTCAGATTTTAGCAAGAGTACAACAGCACATAGCCAAGACAGTGCTAGTGTGGCTTTGGAATAGGTCTGTGAACATTGAGGAGCCCAGCCAAAGAGTGGACTTTAAATCCACAGAGATGTTTGTATGGTAAGCTTAGGTGAACTGTACCCTGACAAAGCCTGAGCAGATCTGTGAAGAAGGATGGGGGAAAGTGCCCAAATCCTGGGCCAGCTGGAATCACTTTGTCACATTTATTGGTGTTTACTTGATGGGGCACAAATAATGTAGTATTATGCTATTACTTTTTGTATTAATTAACCAGAAACTATGTCTTAGTTACATATTAATCTTATGTTAATTCATCATTAATGAATTACGATGCATGTTTTATCAAGCAATTACTATCTTTGTTACTATATCTCTTAATGTTGTAAACCTTTGTGAACTACTGAAGGAACAAGGCATGAATAACACATGTAAAATACTGACGTTATGTTTATTCATCGTTAATGAATCATGATGTATCTTTTAACCCAAGCAGTTACTCTGCTTGTTACTATATCTGTTAGTTCTGTAAACCTTTGTGAACTACTGAAGGAACTGCTAAGGAAATATTGAAGGAACAAGTAATGAATAATTAGTGAAATATTGATCTCATTTGTTCATCATTAATGAATCATGACATGTCAAGTAGCGAGTATTTGTTTGACATGTAGTGATATAATTTGTTTATGATTTGTACTTTGGTAGTAACTGAGCTACTGCTAATTATTTGTGCCCAATCAAGTAAAGTCTTGCCAATTTCTTAAACAAGGTACTGAATAAAGGACATGGATACTTATGTGAGTGGGAAACAGTTTTGTCTTAAAAATTTGCAAAAATTTATAAAAACATTTTAGCATTTTTTACTGATGGCAAGAAGTTCAATCAGTTCAATCCAATTTTTGTGTGTACACATGTCAAAGCATGGAACCTCATTTTTGAATGCACTGAATAGAGAGTGCATATGAATGTAAATATATTTTCATCTGTCCATCCAGCTTCAAATCACTTATCCTCGTCAGGGTTATGGGGATAAATATATTCTTTATGAACATGTAAATGAAGTATCTGAAAGACATTTGACATCTAGGCATTTTCATTATTGTGGCTCATATTGAATCAGCTACTGATTGTGTAATACAGAACTGATCCTTCTGAATGTCACTGGATTAGAACATTTTTTAATTTTTAACATGTTTTAGAACATTTTAGAGAGTATGAGGATCACTGCAGAAATTAGATCAATAAACACAATTTAAATGGATTAGAAAACCGCTGTACATTATCTTTTATTTTGGGCAAACTGCCCATTTAATTAATGTAATGTCAGTGTTCTCTGCTCTGTAAACTCATTTTTCTCTATTAGTTTGGTGCTTCTGTATGAATCTATGTCTGCTTTAACTTGGCTACAAATTCTTTTGTGACAGAAATATTTCCAGGCACATGAGAAACAAAATGGTAGAAATTCCCATGTATGTAAATTGATGTGTTGCGTAAGTCTTTAGCATGGTGGCTCATTGGGTAGCACTATAGCCTCACACTTTTAAAACTCTGCCTTCTGCTCTGTGTGGAGTTTGCATGTTCTCCTTGTGCATGTTTGTGTGTGCGGGTGGATGAACTAATGAATGAATGATATTTTATTACTGATTCTTGCTTATTTTGCACCCAGCCCACACAAACTTATTGGACACAAAGAGCACCGTAACATTTTTTTGCACTGAGATTTTTTTCTGTACACTGTATTTTTACAAAACAAGGTGTGTGCTCTGTGATGCACTCATATTCCTTCCAGAGGTTCCCCTGCCTTGTGTCCTGCATTACCTGGCATAAGCTCCAAGTCCCCCCCCCTCACAGGTCTTAAAGATCCTGTGAGAGATCCATGCAGAGGGGGACCTGCTGGTGGCGATAAGGAGTGCCTTCTTAGACCGGAGAGACAAAATTGGCCATGGAGTGACCAGCAGAAGATGGAGGATCATATACATATAGGAGAGCAGGACCCCTTCCAGTCCCTTCTAGTCTCTTTGAGTCTCATGCACCCACCGCTACCCCTCCATTTTGTCCACCAAAATAAAGGCTTTCTTTTTTTTACAGCATTTGCTACCAGCTTGTGCACTTTTTCCATTTATATTGTTCCATTCAGTGTATTGAAAGACATGGAGGTTTGGTCCTGGGGGGGGGCATAGGGACCAGGGGAGGGGTGTATGGTGGAGATAGGTGATACATGTTGAGTCCAGCTCACAGAAAATCTTGGTAAACTGCCGGCTGCTTTGGATCTCATAAATCTCATGCGAGGATTAATAGCATGCTTGAAAGAACCATCACTTAATCAGGTTGGATGGATGGCTTTCTAATCCTCCTGCAGGTCATAGCATTAAGATGTGATTGATTTTAAAGAGCATGCTTTAATGTGATGGATTTATTTGGCCACACTGTTATCATTGTTTTGGCCACAGATAAGCCTGTGCAGCTTTTCTCCTGCTGCTGCAGATCTTGATACAGGCACATTATCCACCTTTCTGTCAGCTGATGTCCAGAAACGATCTTCTGTAGACCAGACTAGCTGTGGTTTATACAAGGCATGACGCTTGTGCCCAGAGAGATAAATGTTTTTAGCAACTGAGGTAGCATGACATCCAGTCCAGGATGTACTCAGGCCTGAGATAGATGCCAAGGATCCCCATAACCCTGATGAGGATAAGTGGAAGATGGATGGATGGATGGATGGATGGTTATAGGACTTGGGTAAGAATGTTCCCAGGTTTATACCCTCAAAATCCAGACAGTTGTCATTGAACACTAGTGTGTTCATGTTATGGTCTTGTGTTTGTTTGCTATATTTATCTGTGCTTTTCTTTTGCAATCTCTCATAATACCTATTATTACTTAAATAATACAAATGTTGTAATCATTTGGAGAAGCCCAGATGTCCTGGTTAGAGATACAGTAGTTCAGCAGACATTTGTTGCATAGCGTGAAAGACTGGGGGCCTGTAACACGAAGCCAGATTTCTTGCTTAGCTGGATAAGTTGGCGGATTTAAGGTATCCCAGTTTAAATGGACTGTATCTTTGTTCGCTTACATTTAGCCCAGACTACCTTAAATCCGAAAAGTTATCTGGCTAAGCATGAAATCCAGCTTCGTGGTACAGGCCTTGGGTAGAATGTCACAGAAATATTTATGCGACCTTCCGGTTTGTTGTTGGATTTTTATCGGGTCCGAGGTTCCTGAGCAAATTCAATGTAGTATTTTGTT